AAACGGTACTTACCCTTAAAAAATATATTTTGAAATTTTTCATTCTGTGTGTTTCTATTCATTTCATTAAAAAACCCCTGCTGGTTGCAACCCACTAAATCAATTTCATGACTCCCTAATGGGTTGGGACCCACAGTTTGAAGAATGTGAATTGATTCAAGCAGAGTGATACTGGTGACTACGGAGCTGTTTCCATCCTGTTCAATCAAACATCTGAATGGAGGTATAGAAGGAATGTTCCCAAATTTGCACATAGGCTAATAAGACAATAAATTATTTGCATGATATAATCAGGATTAAGAAATTCCTAGCAGATGAAATTTAAATGGAAAATTACATAGAAAATTTGAATAAAATATTTTTTTTTTTTGTTTTGAGACAGAGTCTCACTCTCTTGCCCAGGCTGGAGTGCAGTGGGGTGATCTCTGCTCACTGCAACCTCTGCCTCACGTGTTCAAGTGATCCTCCTGCCTTAGCCTCTTGAGTAGCTGGAATTACAGGTGGCCACCACCATGCCTGGCTGGTTTTTGTATTTTTAGTAGAGACGGGGTTTCCCCATGTTGGCCAGGCTGATCTTGAACGACTGACCTCAAGTGATTCACCTGCCTTGGCCTCCCAAAGTGTTGGGATTACAAGCGTGGACCACCATGCCTGGCCTTCAAATAAAATTTAAATTTAAATTGATATGTACAATTTTGTACTTTATATCTCAAAATCTACATGTAAAGCTACAAATTGTAGATATGCTGCTGCTAAAAAAAATTAACAACAAAAGAAAAAGCCTGTTTTTCAGGTTGATAATTATTTCATGCAGCTATTGTGGTTAATAAAGTAAAACTCTTTATTAATCCTAATTAATCCTTGATGGTCTAATCTGTCCATCAAGATGGAGCTTTACAAAGATTACCCACGTAAGGATGGACTGGAGAAGAGTGAGTGTGGAAAAGAGGAGACAGAGGTATGAAGTGGCTAGGATCTGAATCAGGGTGGCTGCAGTGAGGATGAAAAAAATGAGATGAATGCTAGACCTATTGCCAGGAAGAATGGGCAGATCTATAACTAATTTACTGGTGATAATAATTTCAATATGAGAGGAGAATGGAACCAACATTATTTGAGAACCCACCACGTGCCAAATGTGAATCATTACATTACATGAATCATCAGTTTCATGTTAAGAAAAAAATCCAAAACCAAAGCAAACCAAACAGATCTAATTTGATTTGGGGCAACATTAACAGGAGCTATATTGCTAAAGGTTGAGGGTGGGGTAAGAATTTCCCTCTGTTTTATACAGGTCCAAACCCACACCGAATTTGGAATATTCTGTTCAGATAAAGTTTAGAGAAAAGCAAGAAATCTGTTATTTAAAGAACAGGTGAAGGAAGTGGGAATATTTAGTGTGGAGAACTGCTGTTTCCATCCATTCATTTTTGAACACATTTATTCAATGTAAATTACAAGTCAGGCAAGGTAGATGAAAAAAAAAAAAACAAAAATAATGACACAAAATAACTGTGGGTCTTTTCCAACAGTCAATGAAGGGAAACACTATTGATTGACACTTGCTACACTACCTTAAGTACCTTAAATGTATTAGCACCTTTAATCCTATGAAGTAGTATTATCATCCTTATTTTGGGTTGAGTAAACTGAAGCTTTGTAGCTAAAGTCATTTTCCCAACACCATACTGTAAATTTAAGTAAATATAAGTGGCTGGTGGAACTAGAATCCAAATCCAGGTTCCATTGAATCTAGGGCATGACTTCTCTACCTCTCTGCAATATTGCTTCTTGAAACTCAGATTCACAGGTTTCTTATCTTTGAATGGTTGTCCCTGGGAAGTAGGGGTATGCAAAAATGCATACAAAATTAATATTCACCACATAAAGTGTATTTTTAATCTGGAGATTTAAAAATATACAGATTAGGTATCTTCTATTATTATGTAGCTTTTAATTCAAAATATTGTTAATGTAAATGCAAAGTTATTTGTACACTTTCCAGGAAAAGGTTTTGTAGGCCAAAAGGAAACAGACTTGCTGACTTTTTTCTAAACTTTACATTTTTGGGATGGTATGGAAGACATATAACTGTGCCATTATGCAGACTTATATGTGGTTATAATTGTAATTGTCTGTGGTTATAATTGGTATTACATGTGTTTATAGGTTACACAATACACATGCCTGTATACTAAGGATACAAAGACATATTGACTATATGCTAGCTGCTCAGCTGAAATTATTTTATGGAATTCTCACTTTCCTATGGGACACGTATTATTATCCCTACTGAAGGAATGAGGAGACGAAACTCAAATAGCTTGAGTAGATTGCAAAGGTAGTAAGTTGTGAGTGTGACTCAAAGAATCATGCACTTTCCACAGTATCATAGCGCCTGGGAGGAGCTGATCGTCCACTGGAGAAAACTTTTTAATTGGTAAGCTCTTCTAAACAGCTCTGAAATTGAATTAAGTACGCAAAAGAAGTGGAGTTTTCCTACTTAGAAATGGTGATATTATCTTTACCCACTCACTATCTTCACTAAAGAAAAATGAGCAGAAAAATATAACCAAGTGCACACACATACTGCTTAAGAAAAAACACAAGAAAAATTAAAATGGAAATGTTAAAAATGATGTTAAGCTATTCATTCAGAAAGGAAATAGGAAGTTCAGGTTGTCACTGTCTCTCAAAGTACTCATGCAAGAAATCTAAAAATAGCAAAAGGTAGAACCTGCTGCCATATAGATATATGCACAGTGGGTAAAAAAACTTAGTATGACAACCTTTCAATCTAGATTTATGTATTTTAAAAAGATATCATTTTAAATTTGCAAATGAAACAGTACTCTTAAAAGCAGATGATACTCACCTGGGACAGACAAAAATGTAGTAGAAGGATATAAATGTTACAGGATTTTTCAATTATATAGTATATCTCAAGTCATACTATTATGACTTGTATGTTTTGTAAATTTCCCATACAGTTTCAAGCATTCTAGCATTTTATAATTCAATTGCTATTTAATTTAAATGGACATGTTAGTTACCACTGCTTTCAGAAGTGTTTGCTTAACTACTTTAATAATCCAATCACTTTGGTGCAAGTTTAAACAAATAAACAGACATGCAACCAAGAATTCATCCTAAGTACTGGTTTTGAGGAACTTTTTTTATAACCTGTGGTACTTAGAATTTTACCATGTTCCCATATCCTGGGAGTTAACTTGACTGGCAGGTCCAATTAAATATGAATAATAACAAAACTGATAATGGTGGATTTGTATATTGACCTTTCTCATTTGAGATGACAATTAAAACGATCTGAATATACTTCAAGATACCTAATATTTCTGGTGGCTTTCAATAATCTTTATTGAAAAGCGCAGACCTCATGAAATATTAAAATTATATCCTTCCTTTCAAGGAATAGTCATGCCTATTTAGTTTTAATTCAATACGAGCAGTATGATTACTGGGTACATTTTAATTTTTTAAAATTAAAGGTTTATTTCTTATCTCTTGTGTCTGTGCAGACATAGATACGTACTTTTCTCACAGATCAAGGCTGGCAGTGAGAATCACCCATGTTTTCAGATAATTTCGAAAGTCCTCTGAATTGTACGTGCCTATGAAAAAAGGAAACATCAATAATTGGCATCATACCTGAGAGGATCGTCAGGGATTTTGAAAGTGTGGGATTTGTCGTTCCCACCAAACTACCCCAGTGTCACACACTGCAGCCTTTTTAGGCTGGGAGGTGAGTTCAAGAGCTGTTTGTTGTTTCGAGCTTGATCCAGAGAGGCTCACTGTTTGACAAGTTCTATTTTAAGTAGTGCCTGAGTGTGCAGGTGTCAGCCTCTTTCACGGCTGTAGAAGCACCATTACGCTCCATCTGTATTCTTCCCCCGACAATGCAGGATCGCCCCCCCTCC